TGTACATCTTGAAATTCCTTATTCTTAATGCAAGAGGGCATATTCTCTTCTGTTTAGGATTTTTCCAAGTTTATGATGACAGGAACGTGGACAGCTTGGAATATTTTATTCTTATTGCACCTTCCGGTTTTGGCAGTTCTAGAAAAATGGCATTGGCCTCTCTGAGATCAGGAAATAAACAGGCTGCTTACAGACATATTCGGCAAGCCAAGTTGTTTTCAGAGAATAAGGCCAAGTGCATATCATTTTTAGAGCGGGTTGAAGAAGTTCTAGCTGTAATTGCAGAAGCGGACTCCACAAGGAAGGTACTGCAACATATACCATGTCTTTTTAGGATGATGAATTTTTGTGAGAAGTTTCAGATAGAATCTCTCCAGATTTACTATGTTATTCGTGGTTCCTATTAGATGAATGTCTTCCTTTCCCCCTGTTTGGCTTTCTGTTCTTCAGGTATCTGAAGCTATGCAAATTGGTGCTAGAGTAATTAAGGGAAACATGATCAGTGTGGAAGAACTAAATGTCCAACTTCAGGAACTTGATGGATTCATTACTGATCAAAAGCAAATTAATGAAGTCATAGGTAGCAATTTATTTCTTCGTTTTGATTACTTTTCTACCACTCATTTAACTTCTTCCAATATGTTAATGGTGATGCATTTTATTGAACAAGCATCTGATTATAATTGTTACAAATAACTGGGTGCCGTTTTTCATCATTTTTGTTTTACATTTTTATTTTATTTTGTTTATGTATTGATTTGGAATAAAACATATTTGGTTGCAGCGAATGTTCTTAAAAACACTCAAACTGGTTGATTTATTTTTAAAAATAGAAAATAAAAAATAGGCTAAACAAACATATTTTAAATAAAACAAAAGTAAAAAGAAAAATCAAAAAGAGAAAATTAAATAGATGCCAAATAGGCCCTTCGTCATCATCAGCAACTATGTGATTTTGCTGATATTAGATTTTTTTGTTTAGTTTTGCAGAAACATTGTAAAATTTTCTTTGGTATTTTATTCCTTGCAGAAAGCATGCCACTTCAATCTGTGGATTTTGCAGATGAGGATGTTGAGGAGGAATTCATGAAGCTTGAGATGGAGCTTGTTGATGAGATGCCTCAGACACATATACCAAAACCTGCCGCACCGCAGCAAGCTATCGTTGAGGAATCACATGATACTCTAAGCCAAAATTTATCGAAGCTCAACCTGGAAGCGGCTTAACTAGAATAGACATTATTTTACAGTTGCTAATAGTTTTTCTTATTGTAAATATGATAGGCATACAGAGCATGCATGGTAGTTTAAGTGTCTGTTTGAGACAGCTTATTTGGTG